AACATATCTTTTGGGGGGACACAATTTAAACTACAGTACATGGCTCTAGATATTTTAAAGAGAATTCTGTTTTCTGTGTTTCAGATCCCTTGAACTCTAGTGCCTTTCATGTTTCAGGGAGGTAACTGAGACTTTGGTTCCTTGCTTTTCCACTCTTGATGAGTAGTTTCAGAAATAAGGCCTGGCTTCAAGTCTAACCAGGCAAATCCTGGCATCCTGGAATTTTAAAACTGAAAAGAGTCCATATAAGTCATTTTGCTTAAATTTTACAATAAGAAAAGGTAGACAAATCATCTTCTCTTACTGTGCCTGAAGGCATAAAGTGGACATAAATAATACCCTGATGCCAAGGACAGTGTTCATTCTTTATGTTCAGCAAAAACAGAGAAATGAAATAATTCAGATTAGAATAAGTTTCTCTGAAATGGTCAGCTATTTTAAGGCAAAAGCCCCAGGGCTTGTTTTCATACCCCTTTTGAATCATGCCCAGTGGCCCCAGTCATATGAAGAGATGTCCTCAGTAAAGCACCAGGAACTGTGGTCGGTGCTCTTGCAAGCTCCACAGTAACTGTTGGTTGAATGTAGGAGTGAATGTGAATATGAAGAGAATATGTGTGCCATGGAGCTACCAATAGCTCAAGGCCTGTGTATCAGGGATGGCAGGGAAAGGGGTTGGGAGTGTGCTGGGAATTTCCATAGATTATCTCTTTTAATCTTCACAACAGGACCTATAAGTACTCCTAGGGGAGACGTTCCCAAAACTATAAAACTGGTGGGAAGCAGAGCTGAGATTGGATCCCAAGCCCGTCTCATTCTGAAGCACTAGTGACCTTTGTCCTGCCTGCCTCTGTTTCCTTTACCAAATTATGCAACTGTTTTTTCCTCTACTAATATTAAAATGTGAGTGTCTCACTGTACTTTGGGAGGCTGAGGGGGGCAGATTGCCTGAGCTCAGGAGTTTGAGACCAGCCTGGGCAACGCGGTAAAACCCTGTCTCTACAAAAAATACAAAGAAATTAGCCAGGCATGGTGGCGCATGCCTGTAGTCCCAGCTACTTTGGGGGCTGATGTGGGAGAATTGCTTGAGCAGGAGACTGAGGCTGCGGTGAGCCGAGATGGTGCCACTGCACTCCAGCCTGGGCAACAGAGCAAAACGCTATTTCCAAAAAAAAGAGATGTCAATGTCAAAATTATATTTATGTATTAAACCAAAAGTAGTATTCATATGGAGGAAGAACAGAGTTTTCCTCTTTTTTTTTGTTTTTTTTGAGATAGAGTCTCACTCTGTTGCCCAGGTTGCAATCTCAGCTCACAGCAGCCTCGACCTCCCGAGCTCAGGTGATTCTACCGTCTCAGCCTCCGTATTCCAGTAGCTGGGACTACAGGTGTGCACCACCATGCCCAGCTAACTTTTTGTATTTTTAGTAAATATGGGGTTTCACCCTGTTGCCCAGGCTGGCCTCGAACTCCTGGGCTCAAGTGATCAGCCGGCCTCGGCCTCCCAAATTGCTGAGATTACAGACGTGAGCCATTGTGTCTGACCGTTTTGTTTTGTTTTGTTTTGTTTTGTTTTGTTTGTTTGTTTAAGAGATGGGATCTCACTCTGTCACCAAGACAGGAGTTGGAGTGCAGTGGTATGATCATGGCTTACTGAAGCCTTGAACTCCTGGGCTCGAGTGATCCTCCCGCCTCAGCTTCCTGAGTAGCTGGGACTACAGGTGTATACCATCACAACCAACTAATTTTTAAAAAAATTTTAAAGAGTCTGGGTCTTGCTATGTCATCCAGTCTTGTCTGGAATTCCCGGGCTCAAGAGATCTTTTTTGCTTCAGCAACCTAAGTAGCTGGGATTACAGGTACGAGCCACTGTGTCCATCACTTGTGTCTTATAAAATACTTTTAAAGCATTTGGATCAAAAAATGAGGCAATCTGAAATATATACTTTTCCCCTCTGTGTCTTTTTTAAAATTATTGAGTAAAAAAAATATTTTTAGTCTCCTGGATCAGTACAATTGTCCATGATTTTTATTTCCATCTTTTTTTCATTGAAAAATAACATGAAACATTTAATGAGGTGTTATGATCATTATTAAATTTTATCTCTTCTAAAGTAGCTGTTTTCAGTTTGATGTTTGAATACGTGTTATTCTTCAAAAATAAGGATTGAATGACTTGGTTATAAATTATAATGCTGTCTTGGCAAAATGTAATTATTAAGGCAAAATTGATTTAAAAGAAAATGAAAGTAAATTAAATCCGATTTTTTTTTACTTTTAACAAAATGAACATATGTACTATGTTATAATAATATATAGCTTCAGAGCCTTTTTAATGACCTCATTTTATTTATTTATTTATTTAGAGATGGACTCTCTCTCTCTGTCGCCCAGGCTGGAGTGCAGTGGTGCGATCTCGGCTCACTGCAACCTCTGTCTCCTAGGTTCAAGTGATTCTCCTGCTTCAGCCTCCTGAATAGCTAGGATTGTGGGTGCCCACTAGTGCGCCTGGCTAATTTTTGTATTTTTAGTAGAGACAGGATTTCACCGTGTTGGCCGTGGTTGGCCAGGGTGGTCTTGAACTCCTGACCTCCAGTGTTCCGCCTGCCTTGGCCTATGTAATTTTAAAATTTAGTGGTCTGGGTCATAGTCATCAGACTGTGTTGGTTGTAAGTGACAGTGAACTAATTCCAGGAATAGTGCTTACTCAGGAACAGCTGGCTTCGGGTACTGCCAGGAATCTGTTTCATTCTATTGCTCACCTCTACTTTCCTCCACACTGACTTTTGCTGACTTCATTTTCAGACAGGCCCTTACTTCATGATGGCAAAAATAGCCACCACCAACTCCAGGGTTACCATTTACAAGCTGAACACTGAGTTTTGGGGCTGGCTCACACAGCCAGCTTGGGTCATGTGGTCATGTCTCATTAGCCAGACCTGAAACATGGACTCCCTCTGGACTGCGAATAGAGGGAAAATGGTTTGAAAATAAACTTGCCATGTTGTTGTCAAGATTAGGAGGAAAGGATGCTGGGCATGATAGTTTAGGGCACAGCTTGTTGAAAGAAGGTACAACCAGAACTTTATATGTTTTGCTGCAGGGATTTAAGAAAACAAATCTGCTACCCAAAAAGAACATGTTCAGTATTAACTGCCTGAAAAAGGAGAAGACCAAAAATGCACAATTTGTGATTGAGTACCAGACACTGTATTAATTTTCTTTAAAAATCATAACACTAACAATCCTCTGAGGTAATTATTGCCATTTTGGAGCACTTACTGTGTGTCACTCTTTGTGTGAAGCACTTTACACATTTCATTTAATCCATAGGGCAGCTTTGTGAGGGCAGTCTTAATATTCTCATTGTACTGATGAAGAACTAGGAGGCCAGAGGCATTTGGATTTGAATCCAGATGTGTCTGATTTCATTTATACCATCTCCTAGTTTTACAGTTTGCTTCTGTTAGTCTGCCTGTGTGTCCATCTATCCTCCTCTGTCCCATCAGAGCTCCCCCTCAGCTTCTCTAAGCAAGGCCCCCTTTCATCTCTGGCACCTTTCCAGTCCATTGGGAAACCGGCTCAACTCTGTCCTCTGAGTATGCCACCAGTGTCTGTCCCCGTTCCCCCACCTCCGCTGCTGGAGCTCTAGCCTTCATTATGAAGGGCCGGAACTCTTATTATGAGTTCTGTTTGGCCTTCCTGCTTCCAGTCTTCATCTCTTCCACCCCCATTTTCCTTAATAGCCAGATTGAACTTTCAAAAAGTGCAGACCTGATCTTATCAAGCGTCTGTTTTCCTTGGCTTCTCATGGAGGGAGAGCATGATCCTGGCCCCTGCCTGCCGTCCGTTCCACCTCATGGCACTCACTCTCTGGCCTCTTTTCTTTTTCCTTCTCCAGTGCGGCAGTCTTACACCTTACCACGTCCTTCTCTGCTCCTACAGTGCACTTCATTTGTTTTACTTCTTCAGGTCTGTGTTTACATGTCACTTCAAGTCCTTAGGGACTTCTCTGTCCCTCTCCCCTACCTCTTCAATCTGGAAATCTGAAACTGTTTACTGCTCCTTTTTGTACTTTTCACAGTTTGTAGTGATACATTCAACTGTGATTATTTGCCTAATATTCCCCACTGAATCATGAACTCCGTAAGGGTGGGGACCAGGTCTGTCTGGTTAATTAACTGCTGAGTCTCTAGCAGCAACCACAGTGCCTGGAATATCACCGACACTCAAATATGTGTTGACTGGACTGATGAGTTAAAAACTGAGTATGACCAAAGTGGTGCACTTTTAAATGATTCCCTTTTCTATAGTTCTCTCATTCTCATTTATTAAGAATGAACCTGTGTTTTCCTTGGAGCAGTTTTATCCCAGTTGCTTTTGGTTTGCTTAGAAACATGCTTCCTTTCTTGCTGACTGTAAATGCTAGCAATTCTGATGTTCTACAGTGATGCACTTGGTTTTTGAAACTCCTGGATTAGAGCTAGCCATAATCGGAGAAGATAATAAATTTTAGGGTATGTAATGCCTCTCAATTTGACCTGAGTGTGGGTAAGGGAAAGAAGAGAAGGCTCTACCGACTTGCTCCAAATGGTTCCCTGCCCAATAACACAGAAGCTTTAACACTCCTGTAACTCGGATATGCTGTCCCCAGAACCCAGGCATCCAAATTTAGCCGTCTCTGCATGTCCTTGTGATTTCTGACTGCCATCTGTGTCCAAATTGACTTTGGAAGGAGAAGCTTTCTCTTCAGTGATTTATTATTTAAAGCAGTCTTCTCAGCCCTTATGAAAACAGGCAATTTTCATATGGCCCACTGGAATCCGCATACAAGGCTATCTGTCCCAGGCTCACTGGTGCCCCAGTTCTGAGGGGATCACTATCCCTGCAAGCTTGTGGCCTTTTGATGTGCATGCAGGCATGGTGACTGGGAAGCTTATCTGTCTGTGATCATCTCACGTGCTGCAGATGACATAACTTCTTTCTCCCTTTTTAATCCACAGTTGGTCATGTTCGGAGTTTGACCTGAATGAGATTCGCCTGATAGTTTACCAGGACTGTGACAGGAGAGGCAGACAAGTCTTGTTTGACTCTAAAGCTGTTCAAAAGATTGAGGAGGTGACAGCTCAGGTATGAAATGCTGATTTGCTTTCTCCTTCTCTCTTGTGCTTTTAACCACCACTCTGATCAATCATTTATTAATCTATGATCTTCTCTTTGAGTTATATTATACAGTGCCATTAATGGTTCAGAAGAAACATAAGCAAGCATTGAGTCCTTTAATCAAAGCCCTACCTCCAGCAGGTATGAGTATGCTCACTACTAAACACAAGTGAAACTGTTAGCAAGTAATCATGGCAGGAGCTAAGCAGTGTACTGTTAGTAGTACTAGAGGTAAATTTGCTGGTGAGTTGCAATCCAGTAAGATTTTGATGCCAAGTGAGTGCCCCAAATGTAATGGGAAAGCAGAACTCTAAAATTCATAAAATGATAAAAAGTGTTAGCGTGAAGATCATTCTGTCCAGTGTTTCTCATAGATAATAATAAGTAGCACTGGGTTAAACAAAATTAAACAGCTTTACTCACTTACGGGGCTTCCATATGCAAGCCTGCATGGTTATCTTCAAAAAGGATTGTTTTTCAAACCCTTCTGACCAGTGGAGCTTTTATTTATTTCCCTTTTTGTTTTGGTGGAGAGTTGGGTGGTGGTGGTGGTGGTAGTGGTGTAGGGTGGGTGACAAGGGATGGGTAGAGTGAGGACAGAGCAGCTCTTGATTCCTTGGAAGCAGAATGGGAATGGTAAATTAACATGTTTAAGGTGAGAAGACTCTGATCCTTTCTGGGTCTTTTTGGATATGAGACCAGGGTACTTGTAAATTCACTTTAGACCTTTCATTCTCTTTTCAGTATTTGTTCAGATGCCTACAAATTAAATAAATCCACTTGTATTCATTCTTTTTATGTTCAGTAAGTTGCTACCCATACTGACCAAATACTGGCAGTTTGTAGACTGTGCAGCTAAGTAAATGAACAGTTTATAACGCAGTCTTTGTCTCTTCAGGGCCAAGGGGCTGTTTTCCTGCTTTTGATAAGGATCATTTCTGCAGGAAGGAAGTGTTTGGTTAAACACAGTTTAGCTGGGTGGATTCCACAATATTTTAAAGTGGAGTTCTGCCAGGTGGCTAATCATTACAGTAGTTGTTGGGCTTGTTAGGTAGGGGAAGGGGGTGGGGGAGGGGGGGACCAAGAAATCTCTCAGGTGATTCACCGTAGGCTTTACTGGTTAGATTTGTAACAGAAATTTAGATGAGACAGCACTTGACCCTTTGGTGGACAGGAGATGGTTTACCTCTTAATTTCTTGAATTATTTCCCATTTCTCTGAAGGCTTCACATGGATGGTCTAGTTGAACACCTATCACTGGGGCTGCTCATAGTGGTGGCAGGTGGAGGGGAAAGGAAACACAAGTTTTCAAAAGGAACTGGCATCTTCAGTGAACTAGAGCAGTAGTAATGCTGGAATCTGGAAACATAGGCTTTCTTAGAAGCATTCGTCTAACCAAAAAGGCATCTGAGGTTCAGGAGGTTTGTAGCTTGCCCAAGGCTACAAAAGAATCCAGTCGGTGCTCCATTCACTATACCAGGTGCTGTCTCCACTTATAGACTGTTCAGCATTATACTCCAGCCAAAGGGTCTAGCAGTCTGAGGCAGGTGGCACTTCGTGTCACTTAGGCCCTCTGAGGGGCTGTGTTTCTGGCCTAAGTGATATTAAGTAGCAGCTGTATCTTTAGCGTATTGAGGGAGTGCTGGGTGCTCAGGAGTAATCAAGTACCACTTTGAATGCCATCATTGCTGTAGTGACAATTGTGGTCCAGCACATTTTGTGTTTTCCTTACATTCTTTTCCCATTTTCAGTCCCCACCGCCCCAGCCTCCCTTGGCAAGCACAAAACGTCATGAGTTTGTATCAAGCACATGACTGCAGGCATTTGCATTAGACCACCAGTGTGACTGTCACATTGGAGATTAGATAAGCTGCAATTGCATTCATGTTTTTTTCCAAGCAAAAGCTGCACAAGGAAAAAAAGAAAGGCAAAGAAGACTCAGAATAGAAACAACTTATCATAGAGGGTGCAGGAAGCTTCTGTAGGGAGTAATATGTTTGGGGGGAGATAAATATTAATAAAGGTTTATCCTTATACCTTTGTCACTGTGATAAAAATTAGTGGTGAACTCTATTTGGGGAATGTATAGTAGAGAATCCTCTGTTGTCCTTAACCTTTGAAGACCATATTTCCATCACGTGCTATGTAATTCACAGTAGCTCCTGTTTCAGGATTTTGGTTTCATCCCTTACAAATTCAGCCTCATGATTTTCCTTCCTGCTACCTTTAAAGGAGTACTAGAGGAGGAGTGTCATTAAAAACACAAGCGGGCCGGGTGCGGTGGCTCACGCCTGTAATCCCAGCACTTTGGGAGGCCAAGGCGGGCAGATCACGAGGTCAAGAGATCAAACCATCCTGGCCAACGTGGTGAAATCCCGTCTCTACTAAAAATACAAAAAAATTAGCTGGGCGTGATGGCACGTGCCTGTAGTCCCAGCTACTTGGAGGCTGAGGCAGGAGAATTGCTTGAACCTGGGAGGCAGGGGTTGCAGTGAGCCAAGATCACGCCACTGCACTCCAACCTGGCAACAGGATGAGACTCCATCTCACAAACAAACAAACAAAAAACCCTACAAGCCAGTCTGCCCAACTTAATAGTTTTGTTTTATTAGTTCTATTTGCTTAGTAAAAGTTTAGATTTGAAGCCTCATCTTTCTCCTCATCAATTTAATGGATTATGACTCTACATAGTACTAAAAAGCTAATAACCAAAACTCTAATAACAAAAAGAGATCAATTATATGAATTGAAGTGTAAATAATAGTTAAATTATTAAAAGAAAATAAAGTCTTAATACATAACCTACCTCCTTTTGTCTAGAACCATTCTTCAGCATTCTGCCTTCCTAAACCATGTTTTTGTCATTACTGGGGGGGGAAAAAAACCTGCTGGTTTTTAATGCACCTTAGGCACCAGAATGCTTTTAAAAAGGAATTCCCAATGAAGAACTGTTGACGAACCTGATATACTTCGTAATATTTTACCTTGCCTGTCTCTCTTAACCTAGAAAACAGAGGATGTTCCTATTAAAATATCAGCCAAGTGCTGCCAGGGAAGCAGCAGTGTCAGCAGCGTGAGCAGCAGTAGCAGCAGCAGCATCTCTTTCCACAGTTCTTCTGGGGGATCTTCACACCATGCTAAGGAACAGCTTCCAAAGTACCAGGTACAACCATCCCTTCTGTGGGAATGGCCCCTGGGGTTAAAGTTATTTACTGTAATTTCTTCTCGGGAAATAATGCCGCTCGAGGGCTCTACTTCAGGAATATGAGGACAAGTATTCAACACAGTACTCTTAAATGTTTCACATCAATGTTGTTTTTGCTCTTTGGCTTTTATCTCCAATAAAAACTGTAATCAAGCAGAGGTGATACAGCCTACTATGTACTAGATGAGAAATATTGCCAGTCAGGTAAATTACCTTGCTTTGTTTCCTTTGCTGTCTGATCCAGAATAATAAACATGTACTCTCCAGTTCTGTTGTAAGAATTCCTAAGGATTCTGGGAATGTATATGGGCATCCTAAGAAAATAGAACATGCCAGTAAAAGGAAGAAAGACTTGTATGGGAACAGAAAGAAACACACTGTGTGTGTGTGTGTGTGTGTGTGTGTGTAAGGATAGGGGTTGAGGTTTTTGAGAAATATTAGCTAACAAGATAAAAAGGAAGAAATGTTTTATAAATATTGAATGGCAAAAGGATATTAATTGATAGGGAATATATTGAACTTTTTCTTAAACCCATGTAGAATCTTTTCTACTATTTTTCTGGAAAAACAACACTAGGGAAATTACCAGAAAATGGGTCTAGAGGATTTTATTAATTTCATAGTCAGGATTTGTGCCATGCATTTGCCCTTTTTGAGACACAGTGCTCCTGGGTCTCACAGCCGTCTGCAGTTTAAAAAGTATACAGTAGAATTTTCAGCAGGTTGAGAATCACAGTTGGCATGTGGCCCTTGTACCCCAAGAAAAAGGAGATTATAAGTGAAGGAGGTGGGTTGAAGTTAGTAATAAAGAATGTGAAAACCAGTTGGTTTCTGTCTGCATATAGTGGGAAGAAGTTGGTATGAGCTATAACGTGAGAGAGGAACCTAGCTGAGCAGGGCTGATAGATTTATCTTTCTCTTTCTGCCTCTGCAACCATGTATAAGTAAGTGTGTATTTGTGTGTCAGTGTATGTATGCTTGTGTGTCTATATGTGTGTATGTATTTGAAATTTTAAAAAAAAGATTCGGAAGAGTATGTTAAGAGTGATTCCCAGGTTTTTCCTTGGGTGGAAAGCACAGTGACAGAGAATCTAGTTGGTAGATCGGGGTGCAGAACCACAGTTGCTTTGGTGGCACGTCGGTTTGCTCGGCATTCATACCTATCCTGTTCATCAGTGTGTCACCAGCACTTAGTATAGGTGCTCAGAATTCTACATCCCAAGACACTCATTCAGATGTCACTAGGTGAATGAATGTATTGGGGTATACGATTCTAGAGCTCCAGGAGAGCTCCTGGTCCAGAGACAAAGATGTAGGAGGTATTCTATGTAAATAATAATCAAAATCAAAAGAATGGTTGAAAAAGCAGGCAGTTAGTAGGGTTGACCTCCAGGCAAAACCATAGTAAGGGATGATCTAAGAAAGAAGAGATTCAAAATGGAGAGTCATGAACAGAATCAAATATATTGAGAGAAGTTTAATAAAGCAAACTGGAAAGGGTCCATTGGATTTGACCAAGAGGGAGGAGGTCATCATTGGAGCAGTTGGACTAGTTTGAGCTAAGAGGTGAAGTCAGGCTGCGGTAGATTAACAAGCCAGTGAGAATAGAGGAAGAGGAGGCAGGCAGTCCACTCTGGATGGTAAAAGGCATGAGAGAGACTGGTCAGAAGCTAGAGGGATCAAATGTTTTTGAAATACTTTTGTAAAACTTTAGAGTTATCAGACCATTGGTTATCTTTTGGACCCTCACAAAACCCTATCTGCAGCAATGGGCATTTTTTATTCCGTACTGTTAATTATTTCGCTGAATAATACTGAACTATATTTTTTTTCAGGATGTTTTCTTAGTACCAAGAGAAGAGTTAACGGTTATTTTCATAATTGAACCTTTCCATTTAGAGTTTATAAATGGAGATAATAGTAATCTTTGTTTCTCATAATAAAAATAAAAATGAACTCTGATAAAACAGTTGGATCCTATGTGATGATGTCGTGTATAGAGAAGAAATCACAAACATGCGTAATACTTTGGGGGAAAAATAGGCAATTGCCATTATAAGTTAAGATTGTAAGATGACCACTTGAAGCTTTGAGAAATAGTTTTAATCACCAATGACACTAATGAGATTAATAAACATTATTTTCTGTTGCATTGTACGTCATGTTCCATGTACTAACTTTGATTTTGTTTTCTTGCATGTAGTACACACGACCAGCTTCCGATGTCAACATGTTGGGGGAAATGATGTTTGGCTCAGTTGCCATGAGTTACAAAGGCTCCACCTTAAAGATACACTACATACGGTGAGTCTGGGCTTCCTTTTCTACCAGTTTTGAGAAATGGGATGGTGGTATTGACTCCTTAACTCATAAATGTATTTTTCGTCTCTCCTTTCCCCCGCTCCCCAGTTCTCCTCCACAACTGATGATTAGTAAAGTCTTCTCTGCTAGAATGGGCAGCTTCTGTGGAAGTACAAATAAGTAAGTGCAGGATTTTGCATTCCCCACCCCCATTTTTTAAAGTGTGTATTTCTAGATAGAATAATTCTTTAAGGGCCATAAGGCATTTTGAAATGAGAAGCAGAATGAGTCCAAATTAACAAAGGGGTTTTAAAAGTGGCTACTGTCCTATCAACAGTGAGTGGGAAAAGGCCTTTGACTTCATTAGGTGGCCCTAAAGACAAATGGCTGTCTTTATATGTTTTGAGTCCCCATCTGTTACCCAGTCACCAATTTTTAATTTCCTGGGAAATCAAAAATAAAGAACAAAAGGGAAGGGGCTACATTATTCTGAAATATCTAAGAACTTAAGCTCATTTTGGCATATGCATTCATGTATTTTGAACTTTCAAGCAGAACTATTTCATATACTTCCATTTTTAAATAAAACAACAAAACACCAGTTGTACTTTGATAAATTTGAAAAGGGCTTGTTATAAATTAAAGGACATTCTTAGGGGTCAAGTGAAAGCTGTTTTTTCTTATCCTGGGAAATTAAAAATATTTCTCTATATATTTGAATACCATTGAGTGAGTCTTGGCTTACTCTTCAACAAAACAGTTTGAACATTTAACATTGGACTGTCATGACTTAAGCCAATATGATAATTGTTATTTATTTCTTACGAGATTTGTTTCTAACAGACCCTTGGGATTACCTGAACATTTATTACATTAATTCCCTTACATGCAGATTTAAGTAAAAATTATTTTGGCTTCATTATGCTGCATTATTCTCAAAGTCTTTTTGTCATTGTTGTTTTTGTCAGCTCTACACACAGCATAAGTCTTTAGTTTAATTGTTAATAAGTACAATAAATTAATAAAATCTGCTTCCCTCATATTTTTATGAGTAATTCTTTTTGAAAGTTGTGAAATGAAACTCCTATAAGAATTATAATTTGTTATATTTTATTCCTGAAAAAAGTTGCTGAATTGCTTATTGATGTTAACCAAGAGTAAAAATTAATTTCGTTTTGAGAGTTTATGTAAAATACTTGAAACGAATGGCAACATGTTATCTGTCAGTTGCTAAAGCAAAATGTAGAAATGAATAACAGTATCTCAGGTGTCAGTCACTGAAGCAAAATTTAGAGTTTGGTGTCTTATTATATAACATGAAATTGTTAGAAGTATAGTTGTTTAGTTACATGGGTTGAGCTACATCCAAAATAGCTTTTGTTTTCTTCCAACAAATTCACCTGAAGTTGCAAGTTTAATTCCCTTTGGTAGATGTGAGACTTTGTTTATAAGGAAAAGTATTGAGTGACTGATCAGTTGTTGTCTACATTTGCAAGTCTATTTATTAGGAAACAGCTTTAGTAACTTCTTGACATTTGTGTCCTCTTTCTCCTTTTCCTTCCCTCTCTGGATATAGCTTGCAAGACAGCTTTGAGTACATCAACCAAGATCCTAATTTGGGAAAACTGAACACAAATCAGAATAGTTTGGGTCCTTGTCGTACTGGAAGTAACCTAGGTAAAATCAGACACACAAACAAATTCTTTCTTTCTGAATACACTATTGTGGGTGTGTGTTTTGCTTTATTTGAGTTTGTTGTGGGTTTTTTTTTTTTTTTGGCGTTATCTTTAATCTGTGTTTATTTTTTTTGTGTGTGTACTTTGTTTGCCCTCTTCTATGTGTTTCCATCTCTAGGTCTGCTGCAAGCATGCAGCAGCAAACTGCTGCAGGGGGTAGCTGAAGGAGGACCTCTCCGGCTCACCCGGAGTGCTTCTTTCTTTGCAGGTTTGTGTGGAATGCTGAGTACAGTGTGACCCACACATATTAATAAATCCTGTGCAGGTTCTTAGGAAAAATCCTACTTGTGCCTCTCTAGAAATCCAAGGGGCTCTTGTGATCACAGATATCGGTTTCAAATGCGGCCAAATCCATGGTGTATCAAAAATTCTGCCAATGAACCTCTTGTAAATGTCTTCGCTAATACTCTAGTATAAGCTGATTTTGATCTGAAATGAGCCCTTAGTATTTCGAAGAGGATTGTTTTTTCCTGTTTTTCTGGGCCTCTTCTGCTACTATGAACTGTTTCCCTTTGCCTTGGTGTCTTTTATCCATTTATTCAACTGCATCCTTACCTGCACGGAGTTTCATTAAAAGTCACTCTAATAAGAGCATGGAAGACTTCTCTCTCTCTCTCTCTCTCTCTCACTCTCTCACTCTCTCACTCTCCCTCTCCCTCTCCCTCTCCCTCTCCCTCTCCCTCTCCCTCTCCCTCTCTCATTTAAGTAGTGTAAATACAATTTCTAGGTTATTTACAGGTATAGTCATCTTGGTGTCTCTGAGTTTTAACTTGTCTTAGCATGATTAACATGTAGGGAACCTCCATTACTAACATTTAAAGTTGTGAGTATAGCAAATGGTATTTTCCTTTCTGTTCTTTGTAGCCTGAAATATGCTAAGTACCATAGTTAACTGTCACCCTAATGAAATTGACACCCTCCCACCTACTTAGAGTGAGGAAAACACGTTTAAATACTCTCTTTAAAATTGTGAAAATAAACATGCTTCAAAAAATAGCTGTCAAGTATAATAATCAGGCAGAGCACTGGGCTGCTTGTTCATTTAAAACTTCACTACAGCAGCATCTCATCTACCTTCTAGCACAATAAGTATGCAGCTTAGGTCAGTCTGAAGCATTCCTAGAAGTCTATAATACTTCAGAGTGTTTTCCACAATTCATGCCAGAACATGAGTTTTTCTAAGTAACTCTACAATAATACTGTGTATGGGTGTATATGGAAAGAAATGGAGGAAGAAATATTTGAAAATGAGTAGAAATGTTTTCTATCTGCCAAGAGAGTGGGTTATAAACAGAGAAACATTTTTTGAATTTATGAAATGGTTTTCAAGTATTTCTCTTCCCTAAGTCGCCTACAGTTACTACCAAAACTGATTATAAAGCATTTTGAAAGTACATTGCTATTTAAATACTACTACTAATGAAGAAAATGGCTAAAAAAAAAATCTACCTGAGAATGTTTGTTCATTGCATCAACTGCAATCATTTATTATTCAGAGTTTTTTCTTAAGAGTTGAACGTCACTCAAAAAAGTTTGTATGCTACAATTGAATACAGGCAGATTTTTATGAGATAGTTACTTGGTTCTCTTTTCTTCTCATCTTTTTATATATTTAATTTTGCCTTCTAGTTAATCTCTGTTATAAGCTTATGCCAATCATCAGTAGCAGTAGCCTACTTTGAAATGTGAAAATTACTGCAGTCATTTTTAAAACTGTATCTCTGAAGAGCCCAATAACATGGTTTCCTTGTTCCTTTATCTTAGCACACAGCACACCAGTTGATATGCCAAGCAGAGGACAGAATGAAGACAGGGACAGCGGCATTGCTCGATCAGGTACTTGTACTCCATTTATTGGTTTAACTAACAGAGTGAACTATCTACAGTGGTATGGAAGTTGGGAAAGTAGAAGACAGGTGGATAACCCTCATCCTGTTCTTTGTTTTTTCCTTCCTAAGATAGTCTGATGTATCTAAATATCTGAAACTTTAATGTACAGTATCTACGAGTGATTGTGCAACATAAACTAGTTTTTTCTAACACTCAAATGTATATGAGACTAATGTTTATTAAGAAATTTCTTTCCAGAGTGAAGCTTCCTTGAGCCCATTGTACTAGTAATGTGCTTGCTTGACTATTGAGTATAGACTCAGAGGAAGAGAAGGGTTTGTGGAAGTAAATCTGTCTTATGACAGTGGGAGAACCAGCCAGCTGACCAGGTCACCGTTTCTTCTGTTCTAAAGACATGCTGATCTAGATTTTATCAGGTACCCTTCTCTCCTTGCCTCAGGGTCTAAACCTTTCTGTTACTGCTTTTAGGATCTCTTGGTTTCGCCTTTTGTATGTGACCTCTTTTGAGTTTTGACTTGTGGTTCAGATCTAAGATTTTGTATTATGAGAGAAGGGTGATGAATGAGGGAACTGAAATTCAAGAACTCGGGGGTGTGTGGTGCTCTGCCTGATGAATACATACCATACAGGCCGCCTCTGCCTTCCACTGAGACTAGGAGCACCCTGCTGCCTTCTCCTGTGATACATGACACCTTCCACAAATGGGCCAGCCAGCCGGTGCTCAGACTGGATCCAGGCCTCACATGATGTTCTTCTTGGCCTTTCACTCATTTCTCTGTCCAGCTCCTCCCCTTAGACACTACTCCAAGGTCCTTGTGCTCCTGTGTAGTCTCAGAGCCTTTTATCCCACTCTGTGCAACTCTGCTCTCGTGTTACTAAATGAAATGTGATTTGTTGCTGAGTCCCCAGTTTGGTTTACATATGTCACATAATGTAAAGTATATAGCATTTTATTTATGGTTAAAATTGATGTGCTTTGGTGTTCATAATCTTTTCTGTGAAGTTGAGCTGGGAACCTTTGGTCAGAAACTCTAACTGATCAAGCCCAGCACAGTGACTCATACCTGTAATCCCAGCACTTTGGGAGGCCAAAGCAAGCAGATCACTTGAGGTCAGAAGTTCGAGATCAGCCTGACCAACATGGCGAAACCCCATCTCTACTAAAAATACAAAAAAAAAAAAAATTAGCCAGGCATGGTGGTGCGTACCTGTAGTCCCAGCTACTCAGGAGGCTGAGGCATGAGAATCACTTGTACCTGGGAGGTGGAGGTTGCACTGAGTCAAGATTGCGCCACTGCACTCCAGGCTGGATGACAGAGACTCCGTCTCAAAAAGAAAGAAACAAAAGAAAGAAGAAAAGAAAAGAAAGACTCATTGATCAGACCTGTATCATTTTAACTTACAGCCCCTTTTGTACGACATAAAATCTGAGAAGGTGAAGGGCAACTTATGAAGCACTAGGTAAACTGGTTTGGTTCTCTTTCTGTTTAATGGTGCTGAAGACAACTCCTCCTGCCTTTGTGGGACACTGTCAGATAACTGAGTTCCATCAGTTACTCAAGGACAATAAGCATGTGTTACAAAGCTTAGTGTCCCAAAGCTCAGCTCCCTGCCTTTGTAACCACCCGCGACCCAGCGCCCGACAGGACTGGCAGTAAGGCTTCGTTATGGTTGACTTTCCTGGCAAGAAGATGTGGGCCTCACCAGAAGTCACAGAGCTGGCAGCACAGCCCTAGGACCAAGATCACACTTAGTCACGATGGCTGTCTTAGTGGGTGACAGAATTTAACATGTTTGCCTCTGTGTGGTGGGAGCTCTTTAGCTCTCCGTGAAAGAAGGACGAGCAACATTCTACTGGGGCCCGTTCTGAACACTGACATCACAGTTTCTGTACAGCTGTAACCTTATTTATTTGTTTATGCCCCTTTTTGTTGTGGAAAAAAGATTCAGGGAATTTGAGGGACCTAATAACAAAAACATGATTAGGAAGAAGTTTGGATTTGCCTCGGTAAACTCGGTTTATAATGTAGTTCATATAAATGGTTCACGTCGTGCAGATTGACATCTTACTTGTTTTGTGTTCAGATTCTAAATTGCTCCTGAAACCACTTCCCTTGCTCTTTGAGAAACAGAAAAGTTGGGAAGCCAAGTTCAAATTAAAAAGTAGAAAGTCAGATGAAAAGTAAAGATTCAGCCAGGTCGGAATGCTTTTTTGCAGTCCATGAGAGGAACTTGGGACTGACCAGATTGAAAAGAATGGACGATAGACATTGATACCGATGTGAATGTTGAAAGCTGGAGAAGGTTGGCTTTCTTTGGCACTTTGACTTCTATTCTGGGCAGTCTTTACTTCCAATCTCCGGTTCTCCTGTTGGGAGGAAGGGAGCACAGATGGTGGAGAGGGCTGCAAATGGCCCTGAGTGGCATTTTGCTCTCCCTGCTATCCTGGTAGATGTGTTTACCTTCAGATATCACACCTGGGAGCGGTTCTGAAGTCATGGAGTCCACGTCAAGACTAGTGTGAGCTTCACACCTGTGGTGGCATTTAACACTTTGTTAATGTAAAAACTCTTTATGTTCGCACTGTAGTTTGTCCTCTAAGATTTTGTCTCCTTATACCCATCTAAAATTGTGTAGGGATGAAGACCCAAGTTCTGAAACAGCAGGAGCTCCAAGTGTGAGAGTTAAGTTAGCCGTAGAAGATGTAGAGAAATTGAAGGCATAAAGATGTTATTTATTCTCTTTTAGGCCTGCCTTTTCTTTTTTTCTTTTTTCTTTTTTTTTTTTTTTTTTTTTTTTTCTGGCTCTGTTGCCCAGGCTAGGGTGCAATGGCACAATCTTGACTCACTGTAACCTTTGCCTCACAGGCTTAAGCCATCCTCCCACCTCAGCCTCACAAGTAGCTGGGACTACAGGTACATAACACCACACCTAGCTAATTTTTGTATTTTTGGTAGAGATGGAGTTTCGCCATGTTGCTCAGGCTGGTCTGGAATTCCTGAGCTCAAGCAATCCACCCACCTTGGCCTCCCAAAGTGCTGAGATTATAGGTGTGAGCTACCATGCCTAGCCTAGGCCTGCAATTTTTAACTTCCTGTCTAAATAGTTGATAAAAGGGGAAATTTTTAAAAATAGTTTTATTTTCTAGAACAATTTTAGACTTACAGAAAGATTGAGAAGGTAGTACAAGAGTTCTCATATAACCTGCACTCTGTTCACCCTATTATTAACATCTTATGTTGGTATGGTATATTTGTTACAATTAATGAAACAATACTGATACATTACTATTAGCTAAAGTCCACAGGTTTTTTTGTGGTTTTTTTTTTTTCCTTAGTTTTTCATCTAATGGCCTTTTCTGGTTCTGGGACACAACGCTTAGTTGTCATGTTCTTCAGGCTTCTTTTAGCTGTGGTGGTTTCTCAGATTTTGGCCGGGCATGGTGGCTCACGCCTCTAATCCCAGCACTTTGGGAGGCTTTGTTTTGGGTAATCTTGAGGAGTACTGGTTAGGTATTTTGTAGATTGCCCCATTATTAGAATTTGTTTAATGTTTTTCTCATGATTACACTGAGGTTATGGGTTTGAGGAAGGAAGATCACAAAAGTAAAGTGCCATTTTCATCACATCATATAAGGGTATATACTACCACCATGATTTATGACTATTAATATTGGCCTTGATTACCTGGCTGAGGTAGTGTTTGTCAGTTTCTCCACCGTAAAGTTACTCTTTATTTCCTCCTGTCCAGGCTGTGTACTTTGGAAAGAAGTCACTATGCTTACCGCATACCTACGGGGTGGGGAATTATGCTGCCCCTCCTTGAGGACGGAGTAGCTACATAAATTATTTGGACTTCTCCTGCTGGAGATAGGTCTCTTCTCCCATTTTTATTTGTTTAGTCATTATACTACTATGAACTCAAATATATTAATTTTTCACTTTTGACAAAAACCCAGTACTACTTCATTTCTTTTTTTGTTTTGTTTTGAGACGGTCTTTCTTGCCCCTAGGCTAGAGTGCTCTGGTGTGATCATAGCTCACTGCATCACTGCAGCCTCAAACTCCTGAGCACAAGGGATCCTCCCTCCTCAGCCCCCTGAGGAGCTGGGACTACAGTCATGCACCACCACACCCAGTATTTTTTTTTTCTCTCTTTTATGTAGAAACAAGGCCCCACTATGTTGCCCAGGCTGGTCTCAAATTCCTGGGCTCAAGCGATTTTCCCACCTCAGTCTCCCAAAGTATTGGGGTTACAGGCTTGAGCCACAGCACCCCACCACTTCATTTCTTTTGTTGCTCAAATCATTTGAGTTTTGACCATTGGGAACTCTCTCAGTAGGCTTCCATGCTCCTTTAACATACCTCTGTCTGTGAGGGGTTGGGGTATTTTGAGCACTTCCTTACTTTCCGCACGACAAGATGCTCCAGAGTCATCTTGTATATTTCCTACCCCCATCCTAGAATCAGCCATTTCTCCACTCATAGAATGTCTTTGGAAAAAGCAGCGCAAGCTGGGGCAGGTATGGAGGGAAATGCATCCTCATTGTATTCTCTTTTGGATATTTTGAATATGTCTTCTTTACATATACAGATCCAAAAGATAGCTTTTTAAGGGGTTATTCTAGTGGTTCCCATTAGAAATTTTTAAGTAGAGTCTTGGGAGAGAAGAAGTTGGGTTTCAGCCATCCTAGGAGGTTGCATTGGCAGGGTTCAGTGATTAATGGGACACAGGTTATGGAGGAGAAAGGAGGAATCAAGGATGCCTCTCCAGTTTCTAACCTGAGAAAGCAAGTGGAGGTGGGCATTACCCAGTACAGGGAAAGCAGGAGGCCAGGTCAGGGAGACAGATATTAAGATAATTTTTTAGCTACAGAGATTAGGATACATTTTTACCTAGAAATGTCTACATGTTCTCCAGTTGTGCATAGTCAGCTGTAATTTAGAAATAGGAAAATGGCTCTAGTGAGATGGGTCGGGGCAGAA